GACTACCCTTGTCTTCTTCTCGCTTTTGTCGACGATGGGAATGGCGGTTGTTTGTTGAAAAGGTGAGATCTACTTACGTCAACTCTGATATCAACGAAGATCAGCTTAATTACAGCGTAAAAGAAAAGGAGGGAAACTGGATTATCAAGACGGGAGCACACTATTGTGATGAGAACTTTTGCGCCGTTGCAATGCGAGTGTTTCTTCAGCTTACAAAGAATATGAAAGCAAAATTTGCAAACATTGAGCTGGTGAGTGGAACTGTACGTTTTCAATGCATAAAATCAATAGGTTTTTTCTTCAGTATTTCCATAATGCGGAAATTGAATGTTTGAAGAAGCTCCCACCAATGAAATCACTTACTTGTGAAGGTTTGGTGATTATCACACAAAGCAGTGCTGCACTTTTTCTGCTACTTGGTTTCGTGGCACCTGGATGTGAACTTTGCATTCACATCTTCGCTCCCTCTGACGAAACTCTCATAGATACTGCAGTTTTTGATTTAGAAGTGGTAGTAATTATATTCGATAAGCACCGGTTCAAGTAATGTTTTTGAATTCATCTAGGCGCAAGCAGCTCCAGTGTTTGAGTCTAGAATCAGGGCTGGCGTTACTGACGATCAGCTTTCTCGTCTTAAAGCTCGCTTAATTCGTGTTAAAACTCCTTTTGTATCATCGAAAGGCATCAACAAAATAATTCGGGTATGTCATTTTTCCCTTATATGGTGTGCGCATAAGAAGTGTTGTATCAAACTTATGCATGTTCTCGGAAACCATTAAAATGAAACGTAGGCGGTTGGCCATTTTCGCATTTTAACTTACAAACATGATTATCATGCTAGCAAACATAGCGAAAATTATAGAAGAATGGGATAAAAATTAACAATAACCACCGCGATGCTGCGCATCAATCAATGCTTGCGTTCAGCTGTGTTTGAGAGACGATCGATGCCAGCTTTCAAACCTTTTGACGAATGTCCATGATAAGAATTTGTTGAGCTACAGATAAAAA